GCAGACATGCAGCCACTGCAAAAGCTTACACACATACATGCGCGTGCGTTTGTATATGTCTGTGTGCTGTGTGGCGCGGCGTACAGTACAACCCCTCGCGGGTCGAATCAATACCGCCAGACGCTCTCTCCGCTCGTGCTTTCTCCGCTACTGCTGCTGCTGCTGCTGCTATATGCGAGCTGCGCTCTGTATATACCCCCGGTACATATAGCGTCTGGCGGCCGCCGCCGCCACCACACGCGCTCGAGGTCAATGCCTCGCCTGCTTTCCCCGCGTCTCGTCGAGCCAACAGCGCAGCCTATAGGTATATGCGCGCCGGCAACGACGACCTCAACCCCTAATGCTTTTCTCTCTCTCTCTCTCGCTTTCTCTCCCTCTCGTGTCTGCGCACTGCGCCACTGCCTATTATATACGTACATTTCTGGATTTCTGCCTGTGTATGCGTGCAAGTCTGTGTGCATACAGAGTATATAGTTTAAGCCATGAGCCGCGCCAGAGCTGCGCTGTATATACCACCGTATCTGCTTGCATCAGTTCGATGCTGCGTATGTAAGCCCAGAGAGGGACGCACGCATACACACACGAACGAGCTTTTTCCCTCTGTTCCGTGCGTAACACACCCTCGACACATGCGAGCTCGAGTGAAAGAGCAAGAGAGAGGCTATATGTGTATGGGGGAGACAACATTTCTCTCTTTCTCTCTCTCTCTCTCTCTCTCGCTCTTTCTCGCTCTCTTTTTCACGCTTTTTTGCAGGATAAAAGGAGTCGCCTCGTGCTATATTGCGGGAGGGGCCGCCGCGCCAACAGTCAGAGAGGCAATACGCGCATATATACGCGGCCTGTCTGCGCTATATTGCCACCACCCCCAACGTCTGCATTTCCTCGACTTATTTTTAGCTTTTTTCTACCCTTTTTCTTCCACCCTTCTTCCCTTTTACCAGTTTTTTTTCTCCCGTCGCGCACCGGCTCTCCTCTCCTTCCTTCCTCCCTCATTTTTTCTCATCGCGAAAATCGTCCGTTTTTCATGTACACGCGTAGTGGTTCTTTTGCTACCAACCTCTCTCCACCGTGGCGTGGGTGGGCAAAGCTTGATTTCCTTCGAAAGGTGTGTACGCACGGGAGCTTTCGCTGTAATTTTGACGTGCGAGCGGAGTGAGCTTACACCACTGCTGCTACGAATATTGCTTTGATTTCGAGCTTTGATAAAAATGTAGTATGCATTTTTAAACTAATCAAGAAACAACTGAGAATTATGGCTTGAACTTCTCAATCGTGGATCGGTACTTCGTGGCTGTGTAGTTAAATGTAAAAAAAAAGCATTGCAAATATCTGTAATCAAAGGTCCCAGGTTGCAACTTGCAATTATTCGTAATAACACACGCGCGCCCGTCGAGCATATTACGCAAACCCTCGCGCATAAAACGTTTTACAGACATTTGCCTCGCGACCATTGGGTCTCGAAGGCAATGGTGGAAGTAAGGAAAGCCATAGAGACGCGCGCGGCGCAGTGGTGTTGTATGTACTACGCGGGCACAGGGAGTATCGATTTTTCGCGCGGTGCGCGCACACACCATGAAAAGCTATAGCCCCGGGATCCTCGAGAGGTTGGCAATTGCCGTGCGCGCTGCGGCACACACAGCCGCCCATGCACACGCAGTCGGGCTTCTAGCTCTTTCTCTCGTGTTCCTCCTCTCCCTTTATGGCGGTGGCGGCGGCATCGTCGCTGCTTGGCACGAGCGAGCGAGCGAGCGAGCGAACGAGAGAGAGCTAGAGAGTTCGAGCGAATGCGCCCAGACAGGAGGGAGGCACTAGGGCGAACTTTCGCTCTCTCGAGCTGCGCCGCCATCCACCACCACCACCACCGACGCCGACACTGCCGCACCAGCGAAATCAGCACCACTGCCGTCGTTGCCGTCGTTGCCGCCGTCGCGTGTATAGCAGCATATAATGTTGCGCGCAGCGCAGCGTATCCGCGTACCGATCTGAACCATGTTGAGTCTATATACCGAGCCCTGGCCACGGTATATAAGCTATAGTTCTACGAGACTACTACACCAGATAACTTTTCCGACATACATATAGATAGACTTTATATATCTATGATATTCTCTACGACGATAATGATTTCTACCTGTACGTTTTAAACAGCGTTAGTATTTACAACTGCTGCAAGCTCGACATGTAAATTATTATAAATTTGGAATGGTTTTTTTTACGAACCAATTTATGCAATTATATAGATCGAGTCTTTCGCCTTCATTAGAAACTCGCACGAGTTCCACAGGATTTTGAAACAGCAGCCATCGCAATTATTACTTGGGATCGTTACCGTGCCGTAAAAAGTAATCCTACCCGCAGTTGCCACGTCATTACAATGAATTCTGAAACTTTGGACGCGCGAATCCTTTGTCAGGCTTGAAACAAAGGGCCACCAAAAGCATCTTCTCCGCGTGTACGTATGTATAATATGTACGCGCACACGCTTTCGTTACATAATGACCAAGAGCAGGAGCGAAGCGAAGCGCGCGCGTGATTCGACTACAAGCACACTTACGGCCAGCCTGAGCTTTTCAATGCGCCTTCGTGCCGCTCGGGGATACGCAGTCGTTTTGTGCGTATACGATATATCGACACACAAATACTACTGTGTGCCACAGAGAGAGAGAGAGAGAGAGAGAGAGAGAACGAGAGATGGCGAGAACGCACGAAAAAGGGGTGACTACCCCCATGGAATACGCGTACGGATGCGTAAACTCACACTCGCGTGCGTGTGTGCGAGTGTGTGTACAGACGACGAAAAAGAAAAAACGAGGCCAATGACACGAAGGCAAACTGACGCCCTCGACGAACAGACGCACACAGTCACATCGAGTCTTTGTTCGAGAGCGCGACCGATCTCGTACACGCCACGTACGTACAATGCAGGGCGCATTGCTAAGGCATCGGGGGCTAGCGTTGATGCGATAGCGTATCCGAGGTACACCCGGAACGCCGATATAGCTTGAATTTCGCACCCACGACTCGGATCTGATCGCGACAACCGTATCTCGCGACGTGTACATTTATTATGTTGTACCATATATTATAAAATACGCGCCCTATCTGGGCAATGCGCGCGCGCTCGTGGTTTACGAATTTTTTATCTGCGTGCGAGTATCGATTCGCTCTTCAAGACACGACTGCGGGGTAACTGCAAAATTTATTTTACGAGGCTACGCTGTGCTATTAAGTTTTCATACGCTAATAAAATAATATCGCGATTTAGAATAACATATCGATAAATACACACGCACATGTGACATTTTAAAAAAGTATGTTAGATGATAAGAAGAATAATTTTAGTGTGAAAACTTGCCTACGCATGAATTTGATGCAATCGGAACCACAGGCATTTTTCCTTTGCACAATTAGTTGAGTGTAATTACGATAGCAAGCGAACCCGAGCTTTGACACTTCCGTTGATCTACAAATGTTTATATGTTAAACAAACTCTCGGAGGCGAGTGAGATGAATGTGATACATCGTTGCATTAAAAACATGAATCATGTCAATGGACAAGAACAGGGTAATTTTATTCGATGCAATATGCTTTGCTTTTATCAAGAATATTTCTATTGACTGCGCACATGCGCCCTAACTATGTTGCAATTAAGCTTTATAGGAGGATATTTTACTTCGTACGTAAAAATACAAAAAGTTACTTACGATACCTAATTGATCGGAGTCGAACAAAAACTGCAAAATGATATCTTTCCATCATCAAAAACACGTGCACTGCACTTTGCATCGTGCGAGCGGCAGAATTGACACTACATGCACAACTGAAATTGTAGTCTTCATCGACGATTGCAATTGTTTAATTTCCCACATGTACGGAAATCAGTTGCGGGGATGATTTCAGGTATGATTTTTGCTTCGTGGCAAGCAATATTGACTATCATACTCATAAAGAGTAGTTGTAAGGGAAACACTGTTCACTTTTAAGATTATAAAGGAAAAGTCAGAAGAAGGTTTTTCACAATCATGACAAAATTAATAACAGATTCAAATACTTTATTGATCTTTACGAAATTAAAGGATATTTAAGAGAAAGGTTTTCTGAAATTTACTCATTTGATTGTAGAAGTCTTCATTATTTCCAAATGTCTCCATACAATCTCAAGCTCCTTAAGTTTACTCTGATTAAGTACTGTAAAAATTATGTCTTTTAACGTGACTTTTTTGTTAAAATTATTTGAGACAAATATCACACTTGAATGGTTTGTTACGATGTTGTAATGCAGTGACATTCGAGGTTATGTTTATATCCAAATGTTTTGCGACAAATGTCAAATTCAAAAAGTTTAATCCAATCATGTATATCATTTATGTGTTTATTAAGGTTACTATTATATCCAAATGACTTGTGAAAAATTACACATTTTCAATGCTTGTTCCGATTATGCACCAAATTTATATGCGTATTGAGGTTACATTTTTGTCCAAATGATTTGTGACAAATATCACATTCAAAAGGTTTGCTCCGATTATGTACTGCATCTATGTGATGTTTAATGTTACTTTTTTGTCCAAATGATTTGCGACAAATATCGCATTCGAAGGGTTTAATCAGATTATGTATAGTATTTATGTGATCTTTTAGAGTATATTTTAGTCCAAATGATTTCTGGCAAATATCACATTCGAAGGGTTTCCTACGATTATGCACTAAATCTATATGAAGTTTGAGTTGACTTTTTTGTCCAAATGATTTGAAACAAATATCACATTCATAAGGTTTGCTACGAATATGTACTGAATTTATGTGCGATTTGAGAGTACTATTTTTTCCAAATGATTTCTGACAAATTCCACATTTAAAGGGCTTAATACGATTATGCACTGAATCTATATGAAGTTTAAGTTGATTTTTTTGTCCAAATGATTTTAAACAAATATCACATTCAAAAGGTTTGCTCCGATTATGTACTGCATCTATGTGATGTTTGAGGGTACCTTTTTGTCCAAATGATTTGTGACAAATGTCACATTCGAAGGGTTTGATACGATTATGCACCACATTTATATGTTTATTGAGATTCCCCTTGAATGAAAATGGTTTGTAGCAAGTTTTACATTCATATGGTCTAGTGCTCTTGTGTTTCGCTTTAGTATGAATATTTAGACTCTCTTCTTTATTATAAGTTTTTCGACGCAAGTTACTCTTCTGAGATAGTTTTGTTTGAGTATTTTTTCTAAATAATTTAACCTCCGTAAATTCATCAGTTTTCGATCGGGGATGTAATTGAAATTTACAATTATTATAATAATTGAATTCTTTTTTTATCAAAATTGTCAGTTCTTTATCAATCAAGTAATTACTCTGAATTTCGTTTTCTATTTTTACCACAGGCAGGAAACTTTGATACTCTGTTTTGCACATGATTGTTGATAGAGATGGTAGTTCTGGTTTAACATTTTTGCACTCGATATCTATAAATATTTTTTCATCTTACCTCTCTTGTAACAGCGCATTTTTATTAATGTAATTTGCCTAAAATTAAAATTTTGTTAGTTTTTGATAGTGGAAAATGAGAACTTAACTAAAATTATCCAACTTACCGATGATTCATGAAACGTCAATGTTTCAAGTTTATTGGATTCACAAGAGCAAACATCTTTCGGTTCATCCTTTACCCTAAACAATAATCAAGTTTGATGATGCGATCGTTTAAAAAAGTATTATAGCATTCGCAAAATTATTATACCTTATTTTGTCCCCTTTATTTTCCATCACTCGCTCGATTGTATTTAATCACTGTGAATTTTCACGATTTGCACTGAGCAAATATTCGAGGTTATGCGCCTCGAGTAGCCAACACTGTACTTCAAATTCACCAATTTGTAAACATATATTTGAGAATTTAGCTCGTTGATAGCGACTGAACGAACTACTAATATATTAGCGAGGTGACCTCACGATTGTGTCGATTCTTGTCGATACTTTCCCCCTCCACAGTCGACTAGGAATGTTTTGTTCTCTGCATAAGCAGTAAAGTAATGCGACGTATTACTTAGGTACTCGCATGTTATTGAAACTACACCGAAATTCCAATGAAAATGTCGTTTATTTAATTTGCTTATCCATGCGTGCGATATATGCAAAAAACATTCTTAAAAAAAAGAATTATATCTTTGCAGCCACATCAATACAATCCATAATGATACTACTATCCAGATATTAGAAAAGAAGTCATTAAAACTACAGGTGGTAGTCAAAAAAGTATGTTGGCATCCAAAATTTGACAAAATATTTTTCTCTCATATGATAATTATTAATTAATTAACTCTAAAAAAAAGTAACGGCCTGATCGTGTCATTAAAATGAACGCCTTGTGAATTGTGAGCGGTCGTTAAATTTAGACATAGATGGCGTGCGATGCATCGAGCGCGAGTTTTTAACTTCTTATGATGTGATCGTATTCGGGTATGATTTTTGCGTGTTCTATACGCGCTGAAAGATGTCAGTACAGTAATAAAGTCAATGGATCAAAAATTATTCTTCGGAGTTACGGGGTGTGCGTGTATATTACAAACCCCCTACGCGACTCGAGTGTCTGCACATAGCTATGAGCCAGCAAGACTTTGCATAAAAACTTTTTTTGTCGCTCATTCGCTCGAGCTCCGGCCTATGCAAGTGCCTCGTCGTCTCGCTTTTCATCCCTTCGGCGCGGGTGTGCGGCGCGCATCGCGCAGCAGCAACAGCAGCTTTGAGCGCTAGGGAGAGCAAAGATATTACCCGCAGCACAGCCCCTCTGTTGTCGCACACACGTCTATAGTTGCTTACACATGCACACACACACACACACATTCACATACACACAGTAATAATACTCGTGTACGCATCCGATTCAGCAAAACGTATGTATACGTTGAAAAGCTGCACGCCGGAGATAAAGCTCGATGCGCCCGGCGCGAAACATTATATAGGTTTCTTATAATGGAATATATAAGAGAGCTGAGATTGAGCGAAAGAATATAAAGAAGAGAAGGCGAGTGTGTTTGTATACGTGTGTGCGCTGTTGATAGCCATGCTCTCCGGCGCAAGTGTTATTCTTCGGGACTTTGAAGCAAATCGAAAGAAAAATGCGCCAAGGCTGAAAGGCATGCGAAGTCGAGTTAAGTGCTTATCAAATCTAGCTACTGACGAGATACTCGTATAATATAGTTGCAGAAGTAAGAAGCATCGCAAATGAGATATGTAATGTAGCCATTATCGCGAAGAATTGCGATGACAGCTTCGAAAATAAAAACTCAACAACGATTATAATTGAAAATTCTCCTGACTTTGTATACGTTCAATAATTCGTTTGGATGTATAGGTTGGAAAATCTTACAAAACATACAGACGTAGTAGTGTATGGGCTAATCGCTCCATATACAGCCTGCAAAACTTTGTCTCCTTTTTTTTCTCCGTCCGCATAAGACAACCCCTTATTTTCCACGGAAGCTGCGGCGTCGTCGTCATAACGTCTGCTGTACGAGGCACCGAGCCAAAGAAGAAAAGAAACTTTGCGCTAACATTGCGCAAAGAATATGTATTTGGAAAAAGCAGCAGCAACAGCAGCAGCAGTGGCAGTAGCATAGAAGAAGAGGAAGCTTCGCCGTTGAGGGGGTAGTGCGCTATACACGCTATACAGGGAGAGAGTATTATGAGAAAGTCGACGAGCGAGAGAGACGGCGATGTCTCTTTCTCCCTCTCTTAATCTCGCTTTTTCTCTTTCTCTCGTCGTCGACGTCGACGACGACGACGACGACGCGCCTCTCACCCCGAGCAGCACGGAAGTGCAATGTCTATGTGTGTATATTGTACGAGCGCGCGCTTATAGAGAAGTGGAGGTCATCCACCTGAAAGGTCGGGGTCACAGACAGTAAGTATAGCAATATATATTGCAGCAGCCGTAACTCCTCTTTCTCTTCGCGTCGTCGCGCTATTGCCATAGCAACCCCCATCGCCCAGACTCCTGCCGTGTATGGTTCTCGTTCGTGCGCGCTGCTGCTGCTGCTACTACTATACTGTATATAGCCGCTCGCTCGCCTATAAGCCGTACGCTGTGTGTAAGTGTGCGTTGTATGCCATAATACTGACACTGCAGCAGTCAAGGCTATAGACAATGAGAGAAAGAAAGAGAAAGAGAGAGACACACACACATATACATCGAAGGAGTGGAGGCTTTTTGAGTTTTGTGCGCTTCTTCATCTCTTCTTCTTTTTTTCATTATTTCGAGGGCTGCTACGGGGATACGAGATGATGACCACGGGGGATGATGGTGATGACGACGATAATGACAATACCGTAGTTGAAAGCGCGATAAAGTTAGGAAAAATTGAGCTATCGAGACCTTACACTTCATTAGACTCGAGGGTCTCGTTACCTTGCAGTAATGTTACGTCATTTTTTTCAGAACTTTCCTGAGCGCACACTCGCAGATGTCAAAATGCGCACGTCACTATAATCTATTCTGGGTAGGTAAAATGCGACGAAAAGTGGCAGCCATGATTTTTTTTCTTCTCTGCACTGGCTATTTTCGTCATATGTACGTAATAACACGGCGGCGATCGGCGCGAGCATTTTGTTACATGCCACTCGCAGCACACATATTCACAAAGAGGGTCCAAATGGTTTAATCTGGCATTATTAATGGCCGAGGGGTTGCGCGATTTTTGTGCCAAGGGCCAATGCACGGAGAGAGAGAAAGAGAGAGACAGAGAGAGATTTGTCATACTAACAACTATGGACGCGACTCTTTGTGTCGGCGTCTATCGTATAAATGCGCCGTTGAAAAAATATTTACGCTATTTTGTCGTTACAGGGCTTTTTGCTTCTCTATCTCTTGAAATTAAATCAATCACATTGTGTATGTTGTTTATAATAATTAAAATTTTTACCGTAACTATTTATAGTAATGATGCTATTTTCACATTATCATTGACAGAATTTTTCGCACGTGAATCACGTGGAAAAACATCGGCACTCGGCGTGCGCGTGCGAAAAAGAAAGAGAGCGCGTCGCGGTGACCCGTTGAGCCGAGCCGGTCACGACGACTGTAGGTCGCTAATGCAATGACCAATGCCTCAAGTACATCGAGCGCGAGGTCAATGCCATCGAAAAGAAAAAGAAAGAGAGAGAGAGTAAAAATTTGCCACCGAGTAAAGTTATTATTGTGAGCGATTTCTCCCCTTCGCTTCTTGAATCGAGCGATAAATCGTCGATTGTTATTAAGTATCGAGCTGCTGTATTATACATATGCTAAACTACTGGCCCCGAATTATCGCCCGCTGCGATTCTCCATCTCGCTCGCTCTGCTGCTGCAGTATCGAGCGTACGTTGCAGTCGTTTCGTTCGTGCGCGCCGGGCGAACTTTTATCGCGCATGCATATACACATATCGTATCTATGTGGCTATATACGATTTGCGATACGTACGGGCATTATATATGCGCAATGTCATCTCAATCGGACAAATGGCACATTAACCTGGTGAATGAAGATTACGATACGCGCCACACACGCGGCTGTTGTTTGCGTATGCACGCCTTTATCAAATTGATGCATCGATTTCTCTTTTTATAGCGAGCGAATCCCGGCCGATGTAAATGTTATTATGTCATTGATCGAGACTTTTGACTTTGCGTCGTCGCGTCGAATTTTCACAACTTACGGCTTTCATTGTTAATATTTTCCTTTCTCCCCTTATTTTTTGGCTCGTATTTTTGCGTTTCATCATCCGGCTTCGATCGGGTTTTCCGCGGCACACGGAGGTCGTCGCGGCTCGGAAAATATTAGCCTAAGATCCGCATCCCGATAAACTTTTGCGCCATTTGAAAAATGATGAAAAGTCAAAACACGTATTATACGTACGAGAATGAAAATCGACTATCTTTTGATAACACAATAATAAATAAATAATCGATCTGTTGCAGTTGAACGACGATTGCACGCAATTGTAAATAAAGAGCACACACCTACCAACGATTGCCTGGATTCCGACCTTGGAGCAATTTTCTTTTCACCGGAGCGCATAAGTTGCAAAAAGGTACGCATTATCGATATAAATATTTTCATTACGCGTCGATGCTGCACCTGTCGTTTTCATGCGCGCCGTACACATATTATTCATGTGATTGTTATGTGCGAATTTGATCGAGGCTGCGCCACATTCCAAACAAAAAGCTATATAAATCCAAAAATATTATCATTTCGCTTTAATCGCGCCCGAGCTCTTCCTCGATTTTCGAGCCGATTGACGCCCGATTTGGCATCGCCGCACTCTTGTCGAAACGAAGCCGTACACTATAAGACGTCGATTGATCTTGAAAAATTAAATTTCGAAAAATATATCGTGTGCGGTGTTAATTTATTGAGCGGCCACGAATAAACGTAAGCCCAAGCGAAGGTGCGATAAAGCGCGCGGCGCAGGTCACGCTTATTTGCTGCTGTATATTGCGTGACCGCGCAATATAGCCGTATCTATAGGTACTTGGAACCTTTCTTCCGTTTACTTATCGCCCTTTCTTCTTACTTTTACGGCCGTTAAATTGATGAATATATTTTGATTAATTGTTTGACTTTCAATAACGAGACCTCTTTAATATCTGCCAAAGTCACGCGACTCACGAAAAAAATCCGTTTGCTACATTTCTTCGTGAGCGATATCATTTTAGAAAATATTTCTTCTTTCGCTAGAATTGAATTAGCTCTATACTTCGAAGACCATGCGGCTGATTTTTTTCCGCACGTGTGGGTCGACGAAAGGTTTTTTGTTATAAATCGAATCGGGCCGCGCTCAAGGGAGCTCCACACAACGCGCAATCATCGAATAGGTATACGCTAGCACATACACACGCGCTCTGGTATTATAAGAGGAGGGGGAAAT